CACACACACACACGTAGGCTTACAATCATATGCAGAATATAAATGAGCAGCAATATAAACGATAATAATCTTAAAAGAGAGACAGAGACAGAGAGAGAAAAAGAGTGTGTGTATGGGGCGGAGGTGTTTGAGTACATAATATTTATGCCATTTCTTGTTGTTTTTATAACAAAGATGAGCGCATAATCCCCCCCCCCCCCGGGGGCAGTGCCACTGACTGTAGTGTCTTTAGACTTTAGGCCATTCCCAAAGGGGGGATATTTCCCGTTCAAGCATAGTAGAATTGTAAATGGGCTGACTCATGTCACGCTCATAACTGTGCCTGATCTACAACAGGGAACTGCTACTTTTTCTTTTCTGATCCTTACTATTGCCATTTTCCTCTACTTCTTTTGTATGCTTGTCACTCTCTTGTGACCTGCTATTTCCGGGGTGCCTTCATAGTCAAAGCAGACCTTTTGCTGTTGAAGCTAGAGAGTTGGGCAGTCTAAGTCTGATTCCCTGTAAATTTAAAGACTTCTCTGTTGACACCCACCCCTTGGCGCTCATATGAACTTATGCAGTTGCATGCGCCGTAAAACCCTCTACTGTAAAATAAAATAAAAAACCCCCAAAAAACCGAACTTTGTGATGTAGTTCGCTGCCATTGTTGTACAGGACCGAGACAAAGTTCTCCTTGTGAGATCAATAAAACTTGTCATTGTGATTCTCCTTGTGTTTAGAACCTTCTTACTGTGTTAGTCACGTGAATGATGCTCGTTGATTGATTGTGCTTTTTCACAGTGTGATCGTGGATGGTTGGCGGGTGCTGTGGTGTGGTTTGCTCCTTCTTTCCTATAAAACAAAAATCTATCTTCTCTATCTCCCCTCCTTTTTTTGTGTGTTTATTACTCTCTTGCAACAGTTCTAAATTTCGGCACTTATACTTATATGACCGTATTGTGTTGCAAGTGCTGTAAAACTCTTACTAAAACTAAACTAAACAGTGTGATCTGGTCAGCTGAAAAAATGTGTTGTTTGTTTGTTTGAGCAAAGAGAGGCACCCCGAAACAATAAATAGAAATCTAATTGTCGTTTAGTGCTGGGAAAAATTAGACAGACTGACAGAAACAAAAGAGAGGAAGAATAGAAATGGTCGCTTTTCAGGACAAGCGGGCTAACCAAGATTTCAGATGTTTCCAGAAATCTTGACCTACTCCAATGAAGTTTGGTTTCGTTGGTGGTCATGTTTGTTTGGTTATAGAGAAAAACTCTCCTCGTCTTTTAAAGAAACTGAACAAGGGCAAAAACTTTACCTTCGATTTTCTCAAAACAGCAGTTTTCGGGGATAGCCCACTTGTGCTTAAAAGCGACCAAATAGGACCTACCAGTACCAGTGGTGCCCTCCAACCACCTGCTGAAAATCATTATAGTATGGATTGTCAGGCCAGTCCCTAATACATTTTTCCACCTGTCTCTGTAAAATGGTTCAAACCTGTTCAAGTTTTTTCAACCCTTTCTCTCAAACTCATTTTTTCAACTGCTGGCAGAATTAATGCTTTGGTGGTTGGCGGGTACTCTGGTGTGGTTTGCTTCTTCGACCTATCAAACATCAATCGTCCTTATCTCCCCTTCTTCTTTTTTATTATATTCATTACTCTCTCGTAACACCTCTAATCTTCTGACGCTCATATGACCTTAACAGTTGCGAGCGCCGTAAAACCTGTACTAAAACTAAAACTAAGAATTAATGCCTCTACTGGCGCCTGTGGTCTAGATGTACATCGGCGCTTTCAGCTCGCGCACAGGAAACGTGAGTTCTATTCCCATTGTAGGGAGAATTTTTACCCCCTGGGACGGTGCCACTGACTTGAAGTGTCTTTAAGCGATTCCCAAAGGGGGGACACCATGTTCTTGTGCACAGTAGAATTGTAATTGTAAATGGCCTGATTCACCAATGTCATACTCATACCCCCCCCCCAACCCCCCCTCTAAAATACACCTTTTCCCGATCAATTTCAAATTTATCTCAACAGAAAGTTCATTGCAGCGATGAAAGTTCAATTGAATCGAATCAAGATCAATTTAATCATTGAATAATTTAATGTCAATAGTTGAACAAAAACAGTACATGTACAAATTCAACACAATGGAAACATCAGCAAATGATGCCATCTCAAAATTAATATTATGAAAGCAGTAAAACTCAAGTAAACAGTAATATTATAATTATAGGGAAAGCAAATTCGACGTTGTCAGTTCAATTGCAGCATGAGAATGTAGGTTGAAAATTAACAATACGAAAACTGAGTGGGCATAAATCGTGCGTCTTTACATCTATCAGTGCTCACTAAACTATCGCCGATTGCATCCATCATCGCTCCTCTCACGCCCCTCCCCCTTCCCAAACCTCCCATACATTGTCGATCACGTCTAGGTTCAT